TAGGCAACCTAACTATCAGACTATCATCGAACTCTCCTGTCATTCGACTAGTTCGCTACATCAGGCGTTTCGTACAGGCAAAGCTATGCCAGTCGAACGACATATATTTGTCCATAGATCTTCATCGAACACCTACTTTTATGGTACGTATGGTAGCAGCTATCGCAGTTTCGGTTCAGGCTCACAGATTCAGGAACATTTTGACCGACTGTCTCCCTGTGGCGACTTTCGACCTTCCCGCCTTTTGGTGACGTGTGGCCATTAAATCATCGCGATGAACAATTTTTCTTACCTGTGCTGTGAAACTGTCTCCTGTAATCTCTGAATTCTCGATGACCGTCATTAGATAGTTTTCCATCTTCGTTTGTCCTGCAGATTTTTCCTTTGCTTACTCTTTCCATTAGAGTCGGTTATCATGGGCCTTGCAAATTTAACCCTGTACTTCCATTTAAAAAACTTGCCGAACGTGGGCGTGTAAACCCGCTCGTTCGTACTGAAAAGCTTGAATGCCGGTGCCATAGCCTTTGGCGGCACGGGCTTATTAGCAGGGACTATCCAGTCCAAAATTTCTGTCTGTGAACCTTTTGAAAGACGTCATGATAGACTGACTGACACAATGATAATTTTTCAAGATAACTATAAATCAGCATTGATAACTATCAGCATTGAACCCCTGGAAATTCCTTTAAAACTCAGAAAATTATATTTCCTGTACGTTTCATTTTACCGATAATGCACGTCCAGTCGCTCACAGAGATGACAGCGTAAATATACAAGTTTGAAAAACCTCAAAGCGTTGGGCTTCTAGATCACAGCTATCCAAGCTATGTGAAGAACTTTAGTTTCTTTTAATTTTAAGGCATCCTCCACCAAACATTGTTGGCTTTTTCTTTTTGTCTAGCTAAAATCTCTATCTTCCCTTCAGAGAACAGAAAACAAGGCGTAAAATGGTTTTGACTGCTTTTTCTTTTTCGATTTTTACAAACGATCCCCAGACCCTCCAGCGTTTCTACATTTGTTTTGTTACAGAGAGAGCTAATGTTAGAGGTGCAGGAGTTGTTCAAAAGCGCCAACAAATTGTCTCGATCTGAGAAAGCGTTGATTCTTGGATTTCTGGCGGGCAACAAAGGTAAGATTTGAATAACTTTTGCCTGCGTTGCTGTGATGCTGATGTCTATTTTTGTTTTTTTAATATAGAGAACCCGTTTCCACATATGGGTAATCGAATTTCAATTCGCCTAAGCGAAAACGAAGAAAGTTACACTTGTCCTGATGGACAAGTACGCCAGGTAATCGTGGAGACTCTGCTTCAAATGGACTACGAAACGGGCTTGTGCAAGAAGCTGAAGAAAGTGAAATCTCAAGAACCTGAGAAAACGCCGATTACTACTTGAGTTATCGTACTTTGACATGATAAAAAGAGGGGGAGTAAAAAACGGTTTTGGCTGCGTTACTTGGTGCACCAGTTACTGTCTGACAGGTGACCCCGGCTGCTCAGTGATAAATGGATGTTCAGACGATCAGTCGAAACTTGTACTTCCGTTACTGCCAGAACCACTGACTTAAAACATTCTGTGAATGTCGTTCTAATTTCTTTGTCTGACTCTGTGATCTTGTCGGATATTTCGAAGCTTGTGATATTGTTTTTTAAGTTGTATATACGCAATGTTGTATTTATTGGTCTCACAGTAGCGGACCTTAAAGCTTGTATGTCTTGAGATTGGTTATTTCCATTGCCGAATTTCTGATTTTTGCTTTTTCTTTTTAATTTCGTATGTGGTGCAACGGTTTCGGTATCAACGGATAGCTGTTTGTTCTTTATATCGCCTTCTTCACGCTAAATATTGCTAATGATCTGGCAGTTTCAAGAACTTCGCCAAAACGAAAGGAATTTGGAACTAGCGCTATCTTCAGCGTTCTCTTTGTATCAGCGGTCAAGAACTCGATAAAATCGCTCCTCGTTGAATAGACCAACTTTAACCTTTCAAAACATCATTACTTGGCGGTATATTGTCCATACAAACAGAGGACATATTTTATTACAACAGTTCGGCCCCTATAATCTGCGCTCTGGATACTGCTTGATTTCAAAGGCAAAGAAAACTATGAAGTTGGTGGTCAAGCAAAATGAAATAGAGCGACAGGTGTGCAAATTCTCCATGTTTTATCACTTTCTTAGTGCAAATATTCGACAAAGGACTGATCTAACGTTTGTGCT